AGCACAGTCAACTGAATGGTGCTCTGCTCCACAGAACCCATGTGGGCCGAGTATTGGTCTCTTTGGTGCTTGAGTCTCCTGTTGACCCTGTCGGCGTAATCCGATAGCCGCCGCCATCTTCGATTCGACGCTTCCGCCATGTCTTTCAAGCTCTTCGAGTCACTAGCATTACCATCATCCGGCGACATCTTGTAATTCACATCGGCTCCATTGAACACGAGGGACTCGTAACACTTGTTGAGATGCTTCAAGTTCTCGAGTTGCTTGAAAATTCTTCCGGATAAATCCTTGACACGAAAAGAAAAAGAGGGGGTGCACCAAAAAATCGCTTCAATTTTGGCTAAAAACTTGTGAAGGTTTATTTCACGGAATTTTTACCAGCCACGAAGTTGATCAACAAGAAAGAAAATTTTTACGATGGGAAGGATGAAAGTAATGACATCGTAATTTGATTCGATCTTTTTTATATAGACAGAGAAAGAGACACACACTCGAGAGAAACTTTTCAAGGTTCGATACGATTATATATATACCTGGAATCTGTCCGCTTCTTGCTTAAGTTCTACTTGAGTATGCAAATCCGCGGATGTTTTGCAATCTCTGAATTTGGCTTCTGCAGATTTCAGCCATTTGTCAAACTTTCCATAAGCGTCGACGAACTTCTCAGCGTCTTCTGATAACTGAGAGAGATGAACTAGTTCATCTTCGCCCATGTCCTTGATTGAATTCCATCTGAAGTATGTAGGATATAAATTACGTGAAATTCACATTTCAGCAAATTCAGCAGAAAGAAAATGCCATACGCTGAATAAATGAAGTTTAAATATGATATAATAAACAACCTCTTGTGAATGGCTTCAATGCTGAGTTGCAGATTTCGCTTTTCTGCTGAGGCTCCGATTGTTTCTGCTTCCGCCGAAATTTCTTCCAATCGGCTGGTGGTTGAGTTCAGCACACTTTCGTACTCGGCCAATTTTTCCAGGGCTTTTGAGGTTTCCATACGAGCAAAAGAAATTGTTTCGATCGGCACCACAGACTTTGGTTGACAAGTCACCTGACACTCGGTCAATTTGAGATCCAGTTCCGTTGCTTGTTCATTGGCTTCTTCAATTTTCTGCACGCGAAATAACGAAGTCATCGGCGTGATATGATTCAGTCTTCATCGGAGGTTATTTGTTTTTAAAATTTAATTCGAACAAAATTTGTTTACCTTTGAAAGCTGATTCAACGCAGAAATTCGCGTCTCGAAGCCACCACGAAGATCATTCCAAAAGGTTTCAATTTCTCCACGCATTTTTTCAACTTCTTCCACAGAGCTTTTCTCTGACCCCGTTTCAGCAGATTCAACAACAGCTAGTGAAGATTGCAGAGTGTCACCGAGTAAAGCAAATCTACTGAAATTCTCTTGATTCGAACTTCCAGGTCCGAAAAACCGGTTCATCGCAGTTTGCAGAAAACGTTTCTGCTGCTGAATGTTTGGGCACGTGGTTCCAGCAGAAGGAACAACTTCACGGGAAATTTCATCCTTGGATTCTTGCAAATCACGTTTCAATATCTCGTACCTAAGAAAAAAATATATATATGGAGCATAAGCAGCAGTTCGAACAGGGCTCTTATTTACGCTCGAGAAGTCGACCTCGAGTTTCAAGTGCATCACACAGATGTCACTTAAATCCTGAACACGGAGAAAGAAGTCTCATATCTGTAAGCGTCTGAGCCAAAACTTCCATATATAATCGGACTGAGAAATACGGAAACCAAGAAATATAGACTATTTAACGTATGGTGTATGGACACTTGTAACTAGAAAAATCTACCAGGACATCTGGACAAGGACTCGAGATACGGACACTTCAAAAATTTCCAAGAACGTTAATTTTCCTACATTTTGATATCTCTTGAATGAATCAAGCTATTTATATATAGTCACAACAAACGAAAATTTAACTGCAATATTACTTGAAATTATTAAGAATAGGTTAATTTTCTGCTTTCTTGTGTTCTTTTTTTATTATGAGTGTACAGTTTATAAAAATACTTGCACTTTTTCATAGCTTTTTGGGGTCCTTCTGATGCCAGAAGATCAGAGTTTGTGTGGTTTTCTTATGCACAGGTATCCTGTGTCTTCAAGTTGAGAAACATGTTTTATTCAATTTTTTTGGAAATGTATTCCTGATGTTTGATGAACTACTATGGAGAATCCTTCAAATAAGTTCCGATATTGCAGTCTGGGAAAATAAGATCCGACATGCGGACATTCCAACATAGGGACAATAAGGTCCAAGCATAAATTACGTCCGCATCTCGGGGCCTCAGGGTATATTACAGTATCTTGAAATGCTGGCATATAACAGAACAACATAAACTTCGCACGACGTAACCTGAAATACCTCACGACGTGGGGAAACGTAACAATATTCAGGCGACACCTATGTGACAGGAAATGAAATCACAAGCGTGGCGGAATACATACGATCAAACTGCAACACTCACGTAGCACGGTAAGAAACCCAACAATCATTGAGATCATCCAATCGGTTTCTCTCCATGATCAATTGATGAATGCAATCTGCGCATTGATTTTGAATGATCCTCAGGTCTTGTCGCATGTCTCGAACGTCTCTTGCTGCAACAACACTGCTGGACAATTCATCAAGATCTGCTGATGCTTCGTTGAGCACCTTTTCCGCATTCCTCAAATCTTCTTCCAAACTCTGTCCGGAAAACGAAAAAAATCACAGCGATACGGTTTCAATTTAATTTCTTTAGGATGGTGGAGATTCAAGAGAAAGAACTGTGGGAATAAGCATTATTCAGGAATACTTTTCTTCGGTTATTCGGGGCCGTGTGAATTTAAATAAAGTAATTCCCGAGATTTCTGGAAAGGAACATATTTTTTTTAAATCAAACACATTTCTTGAAAAATCTGCGGATACATTATTACGGTTCAGGAATTTAGTGCGGTTCACGCTTTTCTCCTGATGTTCAATTACAAGATCTTTATTTTTCCTTCGATTTCGAGACTATAAATGCCAAGTTGAATACATCCCAGGTAGTTGACGTAGTTCACAATATTATCATAATTATGAACAAAGTAAATCAATTCAACAGCTGCACGATATCGAAACAACGTTCGTTCCTGCCATAATTAGGGGCTCCTAATTAGGGGTTTTTTCTCAGAGGAAACTTTAACCAGGTTTAAAAAACTTTATACAAAATTTAAAAAAGCGCTCTTTCCCGCATATTGGAATGGAAGCAAATGATTCTCTCGAGATTTCTTCCTTTGCTCGATGTGAAAATGGAAAGCTTCAAACAAGAGGTGAACGATGGTTCTATTACCTTGTTTTCCTCAACAGCAGCGGCGATGTCTTCGAATTGCACGACTTTCGGTCTTTCAAAAAATTTCAGAACCCTGGAAATGACTTCTTTGGGTTCTTGTAGCTTCAGAGTCAATGTGGCCCAAGAAGACGAGATTCTGGATAAGAAGTCGTGCCAAACCCTGAGGCCGGCTTTCACGTTGTCCAAACGACCCTCGCAGTTGCAGACTGTTGTTTGCAGCCAGCCGAGTCCACTTTCGTCAGTTCTTTCGAGCAAATCCTTGCAAGCTGATGATAATTTCGCCAGAAGCTCAGCATCGT